GCCCTTTGAGTGTGGTTTTGTTTTGGATTGCACTGGGTTTGGGAGGCTTTCTGTGCAGATGTGTACATACATGTAAAGGCAAAGGTTGACAGCAGAATGCCGTGAGAAAATACATATGGGCAGTAGACAGAGGCCAGGAGCATCTGCTAATACATGTGCATATATACATGCGAGTGGGCAGTGGAAGACTGTGATCTGGTGCCCTTTGGGTACATTTCATGCTAGATTTGCTGACCCAGGAGTCTGATAAGACTCTGGTTTGCTCTCTTTGTACAATTCTTAAATTATCAAGAGTAAAATGTCTTCTCTATTTGTCTAATGTTCACATTTTACAGAAATATACAGGTTTGCCATAAGAAACCCCCTTCCAGACACAGTTCTCTCTCTTTGAGATTTATGCATTTATGGAAGGCAAACACCCCACCCAGTCCCTGGGGGGAGGCCCAAGATGAATATTACCTAAATGCCAGTCCCCGATACTGTGTCATGACATCAGAGATATTGTCTGGTTCGGTGCCAGCTCCATTGCCAGCCTTGGAAAACATACAGAAATCCATAGAAAAATCAGCAAGTCAGAGAAAAGGGAGACTATGAAGGTCCATGGGTTCCTAAGGGGTGATCTCTAACGCATTTATCACAGTAAGAGGGGGGCACAGGGCTGGAAGCCAGGAGGCCAGGGGCTCAGTTCGCGACCATATTTCCATGCTGGACACCTTCTCTGACTCACCTGCCTCCTTTCAAAGCCAAGGACTTCTCCTTATCATTTCATTGGGGTATTTGGGGGACTCAAACAAATAATAGTTGAAAAAACCACCTTCAAAATGTTTAAGTACTTTACAAATATGAAAGATTGTTCATGGTATTATCAGCCTTAGGCTTTTACACTATGAGAAAGACCTTGTGGACATTTTCTTCTTTCCCTCAGGGCCATCATGGAGGTGTTTTCAGGACCTTAGGAGTGCTGCCGTAAGGGGTGATAGGAGATAGTAAAACAGTCCCATTGTTTGGAAGTTAGGGACAATGCTTTATCCACAACTAGGGTGTCTGCTGCTTTCTGGGACGGTGCGAAGAAACAGCTGTGGGGATCTCAGCTGATTGTAAAGCATAACACAAAGGGGAAAGAGGACCCACACAAGCAGGTTTAGAAGAACTTTGAAGGGCCAGCAGGTGGTGTAGAGGTTAAGGCATTGGACTCCTATGTGGCCAACTGTAGTTCAAGTCCTGGATCTGGCAGCTTGAAATTCATGCCAGGTGCGTGTGGATACATGCCCAAAATCCCAAGAGGAGAATGGAGGAGAAGGAATTGCAGCATTGTGGTATGACTAATCCCCCCTGGTGTGGGGGCAGTGATTTCTTGCTTTCTGTCTCTCTGGTAAGGGCATATATCCTATAGCAAAAAATCTCTTAAAAAAAAAAAAAGAACTTTGAGTCAAAAATGACATTTTTTTCATAAATTAAAACAATGCTGTTGTGTATTCAATTCCCTAAGATAATTCCGTTCACTCCTGAAAGAGACTTGCCCTGCACAGTTGCATCATCAAACTATGGCCGTGCTCTTGGGTTGACAGAGCCAAGAGAGAGGGACAAGATAATGCAGAGGACAGCAGTGCAGGCCCTGGAGTTAGGAGGCCTGGGACTTGGAACTGGCCCAGCCACCCCCAACCTTCCCAGGGCCCAAGAGTCCTTACAGAAATGGAGTCTCCCAGAGCAGCCACAACTTGGATGTCTGCAGGTCTCAGGGCATGCACTGGAATGACAAGTGGACACACTTGAGTCTGAGGGAGGGTGGCTGTAGTCAGTGTCTCGTGGTTCTCACTTTAAGCCACACTAGAAACACACCCTGCGTAGGTGTTTGGGTTGGGCAAAGTCCATGGCATGATGGACACCTAGTTTTTCCATGAGAGACACAATGAACTAATCCTGGACTTAAGGTGAGAGAGATGTTGGGAGGAAGGGAAGGAGGGAGAGAGAGAGTGAATGGGTGGATGGACAGAAGAAAGGAAGGTGCAGATCCCACTGCTTTAGTGCTAAAGGTGGTATGAGGTGTCAGCCATGGCCTGAGTGCACAGCCAGTGGGCCCTAGACCAGGCGAGATGAGGAGTAGAGCCTGTGTTGCAGCCCATTTACAGTTAGGTTCTGGGATCTCAGGAATAACATGTCGGGCCTTTCCCTGCCACCCGCCCAGGTCTCTTCTGAGGAGCCCAGGGGATATCCCAGGCCCTACTGCAGGCTGCAGCGGTTACAGAGTCTGGGTCTATAAGGGTGACCCATGGAAGTAGCTTGGTCTTGGAACTCCCTGGCTCACCTCCCAACTCTGGGCTTCACGGCACCACAGGCTGGGCCACCTAACGGGTGAGCTACATGGCTCCTTCATGTGCCTCCTTCTAAAGTGAAGCAGGAGGATAGGAAATAGCTCCTGGCCCCAGACACCTTGGGCCTGCTGGGCATGATGTTGCCATAGATTGGAACAGAGGAGCAAAGCAGGGACTTGTCCCTGTCTGACCACCCCAGACAGGAAGCAAGCACTGGTCACGACTGTCATTTGGTTACACCGGAAAAGTCTTGTCAGAGTACTCACTTCATGGGTCCTCGGAGGAGGGGGGAGTTGGGTCATGGGGTGTCACGGGGGCTTACCTGAGGTGGGAGGAGAGCTAGAAGGACTTCTATTGGTGCATTCCAGCCAGGTCCCCGAACCCTAAAGGCACAGAATGAATGAATCCCAGAGTCTCAGAGTTGAACTGGACTCAAGAGGCTGACTGGGCATGAGGCTCACCCACAGAACTTCTGGGAAGAGTCTCCAAGGGCATTTAAAGAAGGCTCCCCAGCTGAGGTAGAGTATCAGCCAGTTGAGAGCCACTAGTCTAATTCAGACCCTCCATTATCCGATGTAAGAATCAAGGTATCAACTGAATGACCCCAACCCACACCACCCCGTGCTTCTGCCCCAGCTTTCTGAGAACCGTTATCTTCACTTACATTTTGATAAAGCTGTGCTCTGAGTGGCTGATGCCTATCCAGCTGTCATCATTGATGTCCACTCTGCCCTCTGCCCTGTCTGAAGCTGTCCTACAGCTATGGAGGGCCTTCATATAAGCTGGACCTGCACCTCCACCCCAGGCTGCCCACACAGAACTCATGGCCCCCTGCCCCTGTTGGAAGAGCCCAAGCTTGGAAGCTGCCAACTGCATTGCCTGGTGAGCCAAAAGGAACAATAATCAGATACCTTAGTATTGTCCCTGTGGGTGCTGAGAAACGGCCAAGTCTGTGAGAAGAGGGGGGTAAGCAGCAGCAGTAAGTTCAGGTTGCTTTTCTGCTTGCAAGCCCCAACCCTCTGTGCTGACCTGGGCATAAACCCCGATGGTCTCCCTGCTCTGTATTGCCAAGCCCAGCAGCCCCCGGTCAGGCTGACTGCTGGCATTGTCATTTCTCTTTCTCCATCCTGCTCTGCCCAGTGGAGTACCTCTTCCTATTAAGTCTCCACTCCTCAGCTCGCTTGCCATCCCACCCTGTGGGGCCTGGGTTCCTTCCTGCCCACGCACGAACACTCAAGACAATTTTGATCCTGTCCCCCAAAGTTCTAGCACAGTGGTTCCTCGTGTCAGGCCTGGGACCCCTCTGGGTACATGTGGGAATTCATAGGGGTGAAGGCAGCAGTTACTGGACTCCAGGAATCCTTCTGACAATTTGTGAGTGAGTGAGGGAGGGTCTGGTTCTGCTCTTCCCTCCTAGTTATTGTCTTCTAGCACTTTCAGTATACACACCCTGTCGCCATCCATCCAGACACCATTCTCAGGTTCCTGCCCCTGTGGCAGCTCTTCCCCTACTGTCATGCGGGTGGAGGGCAAGTGGTTACATGTAGACAGGGTTTCCTTCTGTTCCATCTAGCCTGGAAGTTCTCCTCTGGCCCCCAGCCTTCAAAACGAGTGCTAGATGTGGCTGCCATGTTCCTCTTGCCTGCCCCAAAGACCTGTGCTCAGCCCAGGCTTGTGCCAGAACTCACGGCCAAGCAGACACACCATGGAGCAGTCTAGGCCCCCCAGGTCCCTCTCAGTTTAATAAGCTGAGGCATTTTAGATGGCCATTCTGGAGTATGGAGTGCGGTGGGGACGAGGGCTGGGATGAAATGGACAGAGAAGCCCAATGAGAGCTGGATCTGGAAAAAGGTGCTTTAGAGGGAGGTATTGCAAGGACATGCTTTGCACTCTACCTGGGTTGGACATGAGATGGCGATCGCATTTCGAAACTCACTCTGCCTCGTCTTGTGGCGAACAGGTTCCAGCTAAACCAAGAAGCAGGAAGACGGGGCTTAAGAAAGGTGATCCAAAATGAAAGGTGAGGTTATGGATTAGGGGTAGAGGATGGAGGGGCAGAGGAAATGGGATTTGATTGTTGCTGTGTGGGGACTCACACCACCTGAATGACAAGCCCAGAGGAGTCTTTCTTCCTGACCAGAAGAAGCACGACATTTCCTGGATTAGGGATAGAGGATGGAGGGGCGGAGGAAATGGGATTTATGATTGTTGCTGTGTGGGGAGACTCACACCACCTGAATGACAAGCCCAGAGGAGTCTTTCTTCCTGACCAGAAGAAGCACGACATTTCCTACCTTGGCCATCTTACCATATTTCTCCAGAGGTATCGGGCTGCACGGTCATGACCCTTTTGGCTGAAGTGGAAACAGTCAGGAGCAAACAAAGAGACATCGGGCAACCCCTCCTGATGCCAGGCGGAAAAAGAAGAGCAGTTAGAGATGTCAGATCACGCAAGAGATGCTCAGAAACAGGGGCGTGTTATCTGTGGCTTATATTTACCCACGATGTTTGCTTTCCTTACCTCAGTGGTTGGGATGCCAGTGTTTTCAAACATGGGCTGCAAAACCACTGTAAAATTGTCCCATCTGTTGTACCGTCCACTCTCAATCAGCTCATGAGTTTTCATCTACGGGAGACAAAGGGGACGGGTTCAGAAGGTCATTGTCTGCATCTGCTTGGTACTTGTTTAGACTTTCTCAGACACAGGATTAAACGGAATCAGAGTGTTGAGTGACATCGATGCCCAGTAAAATCACAATGGCTCAGGAGCCAACTAATTACTCTTTAGATCACCCTTTATCTCTGACCGCAACCTCTGCTGCAGTTGTATGAATTTGATGTAAGCAAGGAAAAAACAAACGAAAACTATATCCATCAGCTTGATTCATTTGAAAACTATTCCAATTAAAAACTATTCCAATGAAAGATTTGGGATTGGAGATGGTACTTGGTTAAATGGCATTTTGGATAATTCTTTTTTGGAGAGGTTTTTGCTATAGGGTGCATGTGCTTGCCAGAGAGACAGAGAGATACAGAGAGATAGAAAGTGAGAAATTACCCCCCAGGGGGGACGGCCATGCCGCAATCCCTTCTCCTCCATTCTCCTGTCGGGATCTTGGGCACTCACATACATGCTCCCGGCGTGAGTTTAAGTCATCAGGTCCGGGACTCGAACCGAAGTCAAATACATAGGAGCCCAGCGACATAGCCATTACACTATCTGCTGGTCCCGCATTTTGGATAATTCTTATGTTTAATTTATTTCTGTCCTACATTTATTCAGAAACATCAAAAGTGAGGAACTTTTAATGTATATTTATACTGCTTGTGCGTGCACATACATGAACATGCATGCATTCATGTATGCATGCATTTTCTTTGAAGCATTCAGATCTATCTACGTATACCCTCTGCAGTTTCTGTTTGGCTCAGTCCTAGGAAAACCACTTGCCCAACTCTGGTTCCCACTCCTGCCAGACTATGCCATTTCACTTCTTACTGGGATTTCCCCCATTTGAGGCCAAGACTTCGGATGTAAAGTGAAGTCAGGTTTATGTACCTAGGAACATTAGTCACTCCATGAAGATAACATGCACTGTTTTTTTCCAGGGACAACCAGAAGGAAAGCCTTATGCCAGACCTTGTGTCTCCTCCTGGTACTGGCAAAGCCTCGAGGGAGGCATGAGGGAAGGAACGAAGGTAGCCTCTAGAAAGAGGGGAGGAAGGTGTGATACTACTAACTAGCTGTGTGACTTTCAGCAAGCTGCTTCCCTCTCTGGTCCTACTTCCTCAAGGCTAAGTGAAAGATGTTGGGCAAGGCCTAGGCCATCTCTTAAGGCCTTTCAATGATTCCAGTTACCCTGGAGATCAGCCATGATGGCTAACAGAGGGACTCTGCACCTTGTGGAAACTGGAAGAACTAGTGTGTGGAGATCCTGGGACATTGTGAGTGCTACATAAATGACTGTGGCTATTCACAACGCTCATTTCTGAGCAGTGACCAGCCTCTGCAGGTAGGCTCAGATATGATGGCCTCCCCCGACTGATGTGTGAGCGTCTCCAGATCGGAGGCCAGGGTGTCTGCGATGACTAAGTCAGGTCTGGGAACAGCTGGCTGGCCAGGAAGGCAAGTGTGGTAAATATGTCTCCTCCTTTTTGGCTCGCCAGCACCTGGACCCATTTTCTATGTTTGAAAGACCCCACTGTACAAAGAACAGCCTGCCTCCCACTATAGAAGCGGTAAAAGACACTCACTTTCTTAACCCTGCAGCTAGGACATGGGTGCATGACCGAGGCTCTCACAGCTGATGCCCAGCCTCAGAGACAGCACAGAATCCTTTCTGCTGAGGGTGGCAGCTGCATCCATTTCCTAGAGGTAGCCATGACAGTGTTGTCCATGTGGTCTTCACTGAGCTAGGTCTCTGGCCTGATTGGAATTCTTATGGTTTGGTTCTTAGAATTCCAGGATTCTAGGGAACCAGCAGTTAGCGTAATGGCTATGTCGCTGGATTCCCACGTAGTCGACCGCGGTTCGTGTCCCGGACCCGGTGGCTTAAAACTCACGCCGGGCGCGTGTGCGTGCGTGCCCAAGATCCCGAGAGGAGAATGGAGGAGAAGGGATTGCGGCGTGACCATCCCCCCTGGGGGGTGATTTCTCGCTTTCTGTCTCTATGTCTCTCTCTGTCTGTCTGGCGAGCGCACGCGCCCTACAGTGAAAATCTCTCCAAAAAAAA